CCCCTCAGTGAGATCTGTGAGGTTTTTGCAGCTCTTTTCTCAGTAAGTAATAGGTAAAGATCTAGTAGTGTCTTGGGTGGGATTACACGCTGGTTCAACTTACTATTCAGCACAAGAGTCTACAGGTTAATGTCAAATAACTGAACTGTCATCTTTAGAACAAAAAGCCTTAACAGTACCTACCTCTTTTGAATTGTCAGTACAATTTTTAAGAATCACAGATATAAAATGTCTGGGTTGCAAAACTCTCTTCTTGCTGGTCCTAACACTTTAAGTGGGACAGGTGCGCAGCCCAACAGAGCACCTGTTGTACTTCACGGTGGAACTAAATGTTCTGCTACCGAAAACCAGGGGAAAAAAGTGCAAAATGGGTTTATGTGCAAAATCTAATTTATCTTTAAGTTATTTGAATGTATGGGAAAGTCTTCATACACTTTTTCGTTATGTATTTATGAAACCATCACCATTTAACGTGGAGACCTGTGAGTTTCCTTCCGCAGCAGTGTCAGGATGGGTTGGCAGGACCTGCTTCTTCTGGGTAAACTGAGGTCATGCCGAAAGCTGTTCTTAAGTTGTCCTTGATACAGCACTTAGAAAAAAATCAAATAAAATAGAAACATTTTACAACATACTTATAATCGAAAGATCTGCCAGTTATATAAAAAAAAGCAATGATTTTGTCCTTGAGATATTTTATCCCCTCTTGTAAAGAGTTGTTGGTATTAAAATTCACATGTTATTTAAGTTAAGCCAGAAAAACTCCAATAAATGAAATTAGTGAGTGCCTAAAATACCAGGGGGAGTGAAGGAAAAATCTCACATCTTGCTATAAAAATTCTAGTCTATAGATCATTCTCTATACTTTAAAAATATGTGTAGTATACTGGCTTAGAAAGTATTGGGGCAGGGTTTACAAAATTCCCATATTCACAAATAATCACATTTGGAATTGCTGCAATCAAACATTTATTTCCACATGTTTGAATCATATACAGTGAGTGATTCACACTGATAGGAACAAGTTCTTGCATCTTTCCCTGCATGGCATGACCTGTGAGTCGTTTGTTTTTTCATTTATTGATGTAAAGAACTTTTAACACAACAGAACACAAACATAGTCTGACACAAGTGACATCTCTTCTTTTTCCTGCCTTACCAACTTTCTGATTTTCCCACTAAGCTGACTGTGCTCCGTGCAACGCTAAGTCAGTTGTGAGTGTGTGAGCTAGAGGTGGTCTGTCCAAATTACAGTCTGTGATATTTTCAAAGAAAAAAGACCAAAAATGCAGACAGCATTATGAGTCAGGACACTAACACCAATCGTTCAGAGTTTAGGTGCTCTAATATTTCACTCAAGAACAGTAAGAAATAACCATTGTAAACCATTGTTTAAATTGTATACTCTTTTAAATATATATTTTCCTAATGAGGGCCTGTGGGTGTATCTGTGCACCATACACATGGAAAAAGCAAATAAATTTTAAAAGTCTCTTTTCTGATAGAATATGCAGTAAGCATTATGTTCATAGAGCTTGACTTTATTTTGCCTTAAATATAGCTGCATTTTTAAAAGCATCCATAAGTTCAATTTTTTCTAACATCAAAGATACAAACACATTTTTCATGGTCAAAAAAAAATGATTCCATATAGTTTCTTTAGGAAAGTTATTTGTAATAGATTTTTCATATCTATGGAACAATACTTTTAGGTAATCACTCATATTTTCTCTATATATAAATACTGTCAGTCTATCTAGTGAATTTTTTTGGGGAAAAAGAAAGGTGTAAAATAGTGGCAGTTCTTTAAAGCAACCATGGAATTTTAGAACTGGAAAGCATTAGAGTATCAGCAAATTCTACCTCTTTATTCAAGGTAAGGAAGAGGAGTGAGAAATCCTCTCTCTGCTTCAGTCCCCCTCCCTGGACTGCCCCCAACAGCGCACACCCACTGGGGGTGTGCCAGGGCCCCCCAGCCTAACTTGGTGCAGAGAAGTTGGAAGGAGAATGGGAGAAAAACACCTCTGCTGTGATTTCAAGCTTCCCCTTCGCAAAGAATGCTGAGCCCTAACACCCAGTATTTCCTTCTTAAGAGAAAAAGAAAGGGGACTTTAATTTTCTTCCTAGTATTAAGTGGAATATTTTGTAGATCAAATTTTAACACACCTAAAAATCAGCAAACGGACCTGCTGGTATGAACGTTTCTCACCCTCTCTTTTTTTTTCAATGAAGCACTGTGCCGGAAGAAACTTTTCAAAGGAATAAACAAGTGCTCACTCTTTATCTCGGTACCAGTAATTAGCAAATGAGCACAGGGTTTTAACACAAAGGGCCGAAGCACGGCCCGGGCTGGCTGGGGTGCTGGACTGGATAAAGAACTGCGTGCACGCGACGCTATCTCCTGCTCCAAGCGTGCACCGGAGAGAGAAATGAGGGGTTTGGACTTCTGCGGCATCAGACAAACCCCACCAAAATAAATACAGTGATTTGAAGTCACTTGGGCTGGAAACGTGCATGCAGCCCAGCCATAAAGAAACACCCCTGACGCTGGAGGCGGCTTTGTGAACCGCGGAATGGGGACAGGGCGGCGACTGCCAAGGGCGGGGAAGGGCAGGTAGGGAATCCCGTGCCTCCCAGCTTCCCCGGGGCAGAACTGAACAGTGGAGAGTCTGAAAACGATTGCTTTTTAGCCCTTTAGCGACGCTCTTCAATTAGCTCGAATGTTTACATGTCAATGTTTCCTGCAATAAAAGTACGGTAAAATGTATTTATATAATTTTTAGGGACCTTTGGCATTTCTGACTCTCTGACGCGCAGTCCAGAGAAGTGGGGTCCGCGTCGGAAGGAAGTGCGCGGCCCGGCTGTGTGAGTCAGAGCGCCTCTGATTTCATGTCTGAGGGTGTTTTTGAAATAAAAGAAGTAAACCCTTCTTCTCTTACATTTTAATTCATATTAATTATTTTAAATGGCTGTAGACTTTTTTACTATGTCCGTACTTTTTAAAGAATTTGATTTGCTATTTGATTTAGTCAATTTATAGTTTATGATTTCTATTCTATCACTGAAATCAACGTGGTTTAATTTCTAAGGCTTCTGATATCTGCTGGAAGGCTGGCCTGGGCAGGTTAGTTTAGTGGTTAGTACCTTTCTCATGCCTTAAAAGTTCCCTGGTGCTTCCCAGGTAAAAATGTCTGTGGCTTCTAGGTATGAGTAGTTCTCCTTATTTAAAAAAAAAAAAAAAATTTAAAGAAAGAAGAAAGAAGTGGATTATATATCTTGGAATCTAGGAGCTATAAAATTATTTAAAATGTTAAGTCTCGTCAAATCTTATCAGTGAGGTAAAGCTCATTTCAAATTAGGCGTGTCCCCCATCTGGAGCTAGCAGACACACAGCACCGGCGTCGGTGGGCTCACAGGTGTCTGCTGCTTCGTGGCACACTGTGAGGACGTCCTCGTCCGTGTCCTTTCCTATCACGTGACTCGATGCATGTCTATTTGTTCAAGTGGCCCGAAAAGCCGGTATTTCCACTTACTGCCGGTGACAGGCAGGCAATTCCGGGTGCAGTCATTTTTGGATGCTGCTGGGAGTCTCACACGTGGGCGTTTTTCTGCCGCTTCTTCCGTCATAGATGTAAAAAACCCCACAATTAGGAGGATGCATTTTTATTTTGGAGGAAAGGAAAAAAATAAAAAAGTTTCAGGACCAACCAAGACACACTGGGATAACGCCTAAATCTAAGCTGTCACCCCTGGCCGCCTTCCCTCGCAGAAACGCCACGGACGTACGTCCACCGGAGGACCCTCACCTCAAACTCCACGTTTTCCATCAGAAGAACCAAGGAACGCGATTCAGAAATAATATTACATCCTGCATTTTATTCAATTCCATATGACAAAAATAGTAACCTAGACTAAGACATCCATTTCAATCAGTAGATGTGTCAAGCCACGAGATTTAATAATAAAAAATATTGGATCTAGGTAACAACTCCCAGCTGGTTCAGGGGGGCCCCTGGCCCTACATGGCGTTATAATATAAAAATAGTGTCTCTCTTCACCATGCAGGGAGGGACGGCCGGGCCTTGAACACAGAATGGGTCAGTCTCACTATACCTTCATCGCCATCTTATTTACAGCACTTTACATTTTCCTTGTCTTAAGTTATATACACATCCTTTTGGGAGAAGAGAGAACACTACATGGTACGAAATACCAACGGGAGGGGAAAAAACACACCAAAAGGACACAGATAAATAATAAAACATTCAACTGCTGAAACACAGCAACACGAAGCCACCCCGGTTTGCTTTTCCCGACGCTCGAGACACCCCCGATCGCTCATCCTGCGAGGGGAGCAGGGGCCACACGGGGAAGTCACGCCTCGCCACCGTGGGAAGCAGAGCTGTGGAGTTCGGCGTTCATTTCCAACAGAAACAAACAGCGAATGAGTCTTTGAAACTCTTTTTTTTTTGTTAAATGACGTGCCGGCAGAGACAGCCCATCCTCTCACAGCGCTTTGCTGTTTCTGTGGCCGTGTCAGAAAGAGATCGCCCTGCTTCTCTGTCTCAGCTGAGAAGACTTCGCTGCCTGGTTCTTTCTGAGGGGCACACGCCTCCGTGCACTGCCACCCAGCCCCCCCAGCGCCTCCCGAAGTTCATCGTGTCAGATCCCACACGCCTGCAACGCACAGAAATGAGGTAGAACACGCAACGCTGTGCCCAGGCTCCGAGCCAGCCCTGCCGCCCGGCTCCTGCCCCTCTCCTTACTGGACGCAGCTGCGACACAGTCGTCGGCATGAGACTGTATTCTGGATGGCCAGAGGACATTGTGCTTAGCTCTTAGCGTCTGAGAAGATAATAAATAAAACCAGGAACGAAGAAAATTTCGAAGTTACGACTGACGGTTCTGCCGGACGTGTGCTATCGCCCCCGGTTTATGGTACTAAGCGGCCAGTGCCACGAAGAAGTCAAAATCCTGCCCGTGGTGTGTGTGAGACAGAGACAGAGCAGCTTACGGCAAAACGACACCTGCACGATGTTCTCCCGGCCATCTCCTGGCGTGCATGAGTGCCACGGGCCTAAGATTAATTCACCCAAGTTTCTACAGGGGTGGTCGCAGTTTTTAAATGGGCTTTGTAAAAAAGTTAAATAAATCATTTTAATTTAGGAAACGGCAGGCCCTATTTTATTGAGGAGCTGACAAGTCTCGGTGGCTTTTATGTTTAAGTAGCATAGATTTCTCATATTGTTTGACCTTAAGACACAACAAGAAACTGTAACAGTTTTTTTTTTTTCATTTTCCTTAAACTGAAGTACTATTTATAAAATACTTTACATCTTTTTAAATTTTCAAATTATAGACAAACCTCCCTAATACAAAATACTAAAAGTGCAATAGTATAAATTAAGAGTTTGCAACCACATTATACAAACATTACCTTTTTATTGTACAGCTTTGATAATGTGAAATATTTACTCACAACTGTTTATAATGTTGTGAATAATTTACGGTGATGTTTGTCTGTAACTTACTCCCCAATCATTGGGCTACAGACAACACTAGAAAACAACTGTCCACATAGCAGCTACAAACATTTAAATTAAAAAAAAAAAAAGGCTTGTTACTGACAGGTACTTGCACACAAAAAGCATGCTATCTTTCCCAACAGAACGTCACGATTTTGCCTGCATTGAAATAATCCACTTATTTATAGTAAAACAAATCTTGCTTTAAAAAAAAAAAATCACATAGCCAGATGTATTCTGCAGTACAAAAGCTTCATTTAAGGTTGGGGCTCTTGTAGTGTCTGTTACCCGCATAATCTTAACATTATAAATACTACCCACGGAGATACTGTCGAAATACACAGCAAGGGCAGGGCTAAACCACTTCTTTAGATGAAGAGTTCTAAAACCATAGTTCAAGTTTCTCACCGATTCAGACAAAACCATAAATGGGTGTCCCTGGGAGCCCGCAGGCGACGGGCTCCCTCCCTCGCAGAGACCGCCAGGTTTAGGAGGAGCGAGCGGATAAGGTCTGAGTGCTTTCTGTCCCTGACACCGTTTTCCAGCACTTCTTTTTTGACTGAAATTGATCTAAAAGGCTGCAGCGTTCCCAACAGCAGTCAGACCCAGGCGAGGGAAGTGTTTTCTGCTACAGGTAAAACCTCAGCGAGAACCTGGCAGGTAGGGTCAGGGCCCGGCGCTGCAACGTGGGAACAGGGACCCAGGACCGGACGCCCGGCGCGAGGCGCGGCGCATTCAGCTAGTTTATGCCGATCTCCTTGTTGTCCTCGATGAACCGCGTGAACGGGCGGCTGGCGGCCGTCTCTGCGCCGGCCTTGTCCAGGCCCACGAGGGGCGGGCTGCTGCCCGTGCGTGCCTTGTCCATGCCCCCGGCCACGGTGCCCAGGGGGGGCATGGCGCCGCCCCCCAGACTGACCGGGAGCTGGGGGACGCCTCCGTTCTGGATGACGGAGATCTCATTGTTCTTCATGGCCAGCCCGTTGGTGAGTGCCGCGGCGTACTGGTTCCAGAAACTGGGGTCCACGTTCATGGCTCGAGCCGCCAGATCCTTCTGGAACATTTCCGAGAACTTCAGGGCGTCGCCCCCTAGCAGCGCCATGGGGTTTTCCACCGAGAGGCGGCGGCCACGCCGGGCGGGGGCGTTGTTCCACATGTGTGTGCCCATGTGCACCTGCGTGAGACACGAGAGACAGCCCACAGGTAAGCAAGTCCACACACGCCAGGCGGAGCTGTCCCGGCCACGCCATCTAGCAAGCGCCACCCTGTCCTAAGCGTGTCTGGGTGAGCTTTTCCAAGCGCCTTCTACTCACAGAGGGGACATTTCATCTTACTGGATACAGAAAAGCAAAACCAGCGCTGTAAGTTAACGAACATGCTCTTTCCGTGGACACACGATAGAATAACTTTTCCCCGAAGGTGTAAAAGCTATGAGGCCACCCACAGAATGTTCTAGGGCTCCGAGGGTCATGGGTCTTGCCCCACGGCCTCACCCGGGCCCTGGCTCTCCTGTGTGCCCTCACCCCTAAATCTTCTCATCCTCGAACTCTCTGTGTCTCTCCTGCTTTCCCTCACACGAGAAAGAAACATTCATTCTGAAGCTCCCGGGGCCACCTGAGGCCGGCAGGCACTCGGGCTCTCGTCCCCCCGACGCGCGCCCACGCGGGGGACAGGCATCGACCGGCTCACTGGCGAGGCCGCAGAGGCCCACACACGCTGGCTTCGCACAGGTGCACCTTGCACGGGGTGGAAACGGCCCGCGGAGCACACATCGTGCAAAAGCGCGGGCCTGCAGGCGTCGCCCCGCCTGTCCTCACGCCTTCCACCTCCCGGGCACGCGTGGCTGCTGTGACCTCACGCACAGACACCTGGCGTCTGCCCTCACGCCCGGGAGCTTCCCGCCACGCACCCCTCCCTGGGCCCTCTCGGCAGCCACACGGACAGGATAGAAGCCTCTAGAAGTCGCTGAGGACGCCTTGGCTTGGAATCATTTGCGTGATGTGTGAGCGCCAAAGGCCACGTGTATTTTGTATCAGATTCAAGAGAGCGCTGGGCCCTGTGCCTGCACACTAAGGTGTAACGTGTGCGCCCTCCCCCCACCCTAAAACAGGCCGCAGCCATCAGATGCCCAGTTCCGAGAGGCCCCGGAAGGGAGAGCCCAGACTCATGTTCCTCTCACAGCCACTTAACGGGATGCCGCCTCATAAGTGTGTGTGCACACACACATTAGACATCTCACACACACCACATGTGCATCTCATACCCATGCTATACGTGTGAATACACTACATACACAGTGCTACACATGTACCATGTGCATATTCACATGCACACTTGACTGCCATACACATCATACACGCTCGTATGCACATACATGACACACATGCTGCACACTATGCACATGTGTACACACACATACATGACCCTACACCCCATGCACCATACATTACATATAACACATGCACACACGCTCACATGCACATACATACAAGGTCCCATACAGCACACATCGCACACACATGCACACATTATGATGCCCACCACACATCATGCACATACAAACATGCACACACGCTCACAGGCAAGGCATCTCATCCCTCTGGCCAAGAGCAGGACCCTGCTGATGTGCCTAAGGCAGGTGGCGGACGTGGCCACCACGGGCAGTCCCTTGTGGCCTTGGAGCCGGGGCAGCTGGGCCTGCCGTGCCCTTACCTTGAGGTTGCCCTTGGTGGTGAAGGCCCTGCCGCAGATGGTGCAGCCGAACGGCTTCTCCCCGGTGTGGGTTCGCTCGTGGATCTGCAGGGCGCTGGCCGAGGAGAAGGTCTTACCGCAGGACTGGCAGTTGTGCTGCTTGGGCGTCCGGCGCGGAGGGGGGGCCAGCATGGGCGCGAGGCCCGGGCTCATCACTGTCTGAGGCCCCGCAGGGACCTGGACGCCCGCCGGCAGCGGCGGGCCCTCGCCCAGCGAGATGGCCTTGCTGTGGCCGTTCACTTCCGTTTTGATCATGGGCGCCACGCTGGAGACCAGGCTAGGAGTGCTTTGGCTGGGACCTAGAGCAAAGTTGGGGTCAAACACCTGAGAAGGCAGCTCTTTCAATCTGTGCGTCAGTAAGTGCTGCTTTAAATTACCCATAGTGGAGCACCCGCGCCTGCAGACCGCGCAGACGAAGGGACGCTCCTTAGTATGGCTGCGGAGGTGGATCTCCAGCGCGCTCTTGCAAGCAAAGGGCTTGCCACAGACACCACACACAGTGCTCCAACACTTACCCCGCTCTCTGCTCAGGAACAGCAGGCTGAAGGGGGCTTCCTCCTTGATGGCCGGCCGGCCGGGGGGGCCCGCGGTCAGGTCCAGGGCGCCTCCGTTTCCCGGGGCCGGGGGCGGGCTGTCCGGCCTTTCCGTCTTGAGCACGATCTCCGGCGGCTCCCCCGGGGCGCCCAGGCCCGGCGGCATTGGCGGCGACTTGGAGCGGAAGCTCTCGCCGTTGCTGTGGGCCGGGGACAGCGGCTGGGAGGACGAGGACTCGGACAGCGCCGGGCTGCCCGCGCTGCGGCTCTCCAGGTCCCCCACGGCCGAGGACGAGTCGTTGCTCAGGTGGTCGCTCTCCCCGGACCCGTTCTCCACGGACTTGAGGCCGCCCAGCTGCGGGCAGCTCATGACGGAGTCGATCATCTTCATCTGGTTCTCCAGGGCTGCGATGCTGGAGATGACGGAGGGCGGCGAGGGCGGGCAGGACCCCGCGAAGGGCGGCAGCGGCCTGGGCGCCTCGCCGGCGGCGTCCTTCAGCTCCGCGTCGTCCTCCATGGAGTTGTCGTCCAGGTCGTCGTCGTAGCCGCTCAGCGCCTCCGCGCCCTTCTCCTCGTAGCCCAGCTCGGGCTCCATGGCGTCCTGGAAGCCCTCGGGCAGGGGCGTGTTGGGGATCTGGCCCCCCGTGTGCATGCGGATGTGCTGCTGGAGCACCACCGCGTTGGTGAACTTCTTCTGGCAGATGGGGCAGGAGTGCTGCACCCGCAGGGGCGGCTTGGCGCGGTGCACGCCGAAGTGCGTCTTCAGGTTGCCCTTGGTGGTGAAGGCGCGGCCGCAGATCTTGCACTTGAAGGGGCGCTCGCCCGTGTGCGTCCGGTAGTGCATCTTCAGGGCGCTCTGGCAGCTCAGCACGCGGTGGCAGATGACGCACTGGTTCGGGTCCGTCATCTTCTTGTCGATGTTCTCCACCAGCTGCTGCAGCTTCGAGGTCTCCGAGGTCTGCATGGAGTCCAGCAGCCCGCCGAAGGGAAACTGCGCCTTGAACGGGTCGGGGACCGCCGAGAGCCCGGGGCTGCCCAGGCCCCCGGACGCGTCGCTGGCGGGGACCGCGCTGGCCGCAGACGTGGGCGCCGAGCAGGCCGGGCCCGCGGCCGGCGTGTCCCCTGCCCTCGCGTTCGTGCCGGGCAGGCCCAGCGGCTCGGGCTTCGTCAGGGAGGCGCCGAGGAGAGGCTGCGGGGACTCGGCGGCCACCAGGATGCCGGACTCCGGGTTGTTGAGGCCGGGGGACAGGGAGGTGCACTCGCTGGAGGCGGGGGAGGGCCTCTGCGGGGAGCGGCTGGCGGGGGTGACGCTGGGGGAGTCGGCGTAGCCGTGGGCGCCGGGGACGGTGGGAGGCAGCTGCAGCCCCACCGACGTGGGCACCGTGGGCAGCACCGGCTTGCTGTCCAGCCAGGTGGTCACGGGCTTCTCCGGGGGCAGCGACATGCCGTAGGGGATGCCCGAGCAGGTGGGCACGTTGTCGAGGTACTCCGGGACCGGGTAGGGGTTCATCTGGATGTGGGGGTACTTCTCCTTGTGCCTCTGGAAGTGCACCTTCAGGTTGCCTTTGGTCGAGAAGCGGTTCCCGCAGATGTTGCACTTGAAGGGCCGCTCGCCCGTGTGCGAGCGCAGGTGGATCTGCAGCGCGCTGTCGCTGCCGAAGACCTTGGCGCAGAACCTGCACTTGTGCTTGAAGAAGGGGTCCTCGGCGCTGGCCTTGGGCTCGAACACCGACACGTTGGGGGGCTTGCCCTTGCGGTGCTTCATGAGGGCCGACAGGGGGTCCAGGGCGTTGGCCGTGGCCGCGATGCTGACCAGCGGGTTGGGGAAGATGACGCCGCTCGAGGAGGTGTGAGGTAGAAGTGGGCTCGGCAGGCCGGGGCCCGGCAGGCGGCCGAGCCGGCGCGCGCGGGCCCGGCGTGGTGCGCTCGGGCTGCGGCGCCCGGTCGGGTCTGGGTGGCGCTGGGCTGCGGTCCAGGCGCCCCTGCCGGGCCTCCGGGGTGCTGCGCCCGACGCGGCCGCGACCGGCTGCGCCTCGAAGCAGGGCACGGCGGGCCCGGACGGCGGCGAGAGCGGCAGGGACGAGGGGCGGCCAGCCGGCACTGCTGGGGCGGGCGCCGGCCGCGCTCGGGCGGCGCGGGCTGAGCGAGGGCCGCAGCGGCTGGCGGTGCATCAGGGCCACCTGGCTGCGGATCTGCTCGATGAGCTGCAGCTGGTGGATCTGCTGCTGCTGCAGGGCCAGGAGCTGCTCCAGGATCACGGCACGCGCGCGCCGCCACCCCGGCCCCGCGCCGCGCCGCCCGCCGCCCGCGCGCTGCGAGAACTGCGCCACGGCCACCTTGGTGCTGAGCAGCGTCTCCAGCGTCACGTTGGTGCTGGCATTGCCGTAGCGGCGCGGGCGCGGGCGCCGGGCGGCGGCCGGCGCGCTGGGGGCGTCGGGGCCGGCCGAGCCCTGCTCCGCGGGGGCCTCCACGTCCATGGGCTCGGCCTCCCGGGCCTCCCTGCCGGCTGCGCGCGCCTCGGCCTCTGCGCCCTCCGCCTCCTCGGTGGCCTCGCTCTCCGTGTGCTCGCTCGGGGAGCTGGCGGGAGAAGGTTCTGGAAAGTCCTCGGAGGGCGGCGCGGGCTCATCCTCGTGCACGATCAGCACGGGCGGGTTCTTGGTGCAGCCCTTCTTGTGCTGCAGGAAGTCGGCCCACTTGAAGAACTCGGCGCAGCACTGCTCGCAGACGCTGGTCTCCTCGCCCGCGCTGCGGCCCTCGGGCCCGCTGTCCGCCTCCTCCGCGCCGTCCCCCGGGGCGCCTGCAAAAAACAAAACAAAAAAAAAAAAAAAAAAACGAGAGCGCGTCAGCGGGGCGCCCACGGCCCGCCCTCCGCCTCGAAATTTTGCACATGGTAAAATCAATATTTTTTATTCTGTACAAATTACCCCACTTCAACATTTCTGACGTCCCAGCATGTGTATTCTATGACTCTTTCTAGCTAGCTAATCATTTTCTTAGCACAATCCATCAAATTATGAGGCCCTATCAATTGTGGATACTGCTGCTTAATGAAATTCCATAGAAGCCATCGATTTCCGATACCGTCATACGGTCCGCAGCTGCCCTGCCTACCGGCACAAAGCCGCCTTCGACGGGCTCATTACGCTTCCCTTTACTATCGGGCTTCCTATTTCCAGCAAAATTGGAGATGCCTTTGCCAGTCCGCCCGTCACCTCTCGGACCGCAGCGGCACCCGACCGCGGTCACAGGCGGAATGTCCTTCCGTGGGACCTTCCAAATCCACGGGCATTATTTCGTGTAGGAGACTCCAGCTAAATGCCTTCATTTGTAAATATAACAAAGAACATATAAGCCCTTTTTTGCATCTGCTCGGAAAAACAATGCCCCCCCCCCAAGAATAGTTGGAGCAGATCAGTCCAGGATCTTTCCTGGCCTTTGTGCTTTCCCTTCACCGTAGGGTCCATCTCTGCACTTTGGAATTTGCCAAATTAATATCAACATAACCTAGGCCTAAAATTAATCATGTTTAATACAATTAATTGGCTGTGTCAGATGCAATATTTCTTGACAAAATGAACTAAAATTACATGTTATTGTTATTAGCCAATAGAGTTCAGTGGTTTGCTAACAAACTAGAAATTATATATTTAAAGTTCATTTATGTTGACATGTTTAACATGAGAATGTTGTAGTCAGACACACTTTTTTGTACCTATTTTCATCCATTCTCATAGAAAGACTTAGCAAATTATATGCTTGTGCCATAGTGGAAAACCCTCTAATTGGTTACACATGTTTAATTACTGTTGTAGGCAGCCACTTCCTCTGTCTCCCCTTACCCTCTTGTGCCGAATAACAACCACGTTTAATGAACGACTCTCATTCACACCTGATCAAATAAATAGCTATACAGGAATGAGAAATCAACATACGATAGCATTTCTACCTCCTAGTTTTTGGGTAGTTGGGGTGAAAAGTAATTCCCCGATAATTGCTCAGGCTGTATGAGCTAGCCTGGATGCTACTGACTCGTAAGTGCTTTCCGTCAATTTATGGATGGAGTGACAGCAAGCGCTCAGTTTGCAGAGGGAGGAATGACAGCTGCAAGTCAGCTTTGTTAAATGTGCACAGTTGAGCATGAGGACAAAACATCTTCAAGTCTGTCCCCAAAATGATTTACTGTAATAACATCAAATGTATTTGCTACAATGTCTCCAAATTTTTTTCTTTTATAGTTTTGCAAAAATAATAATTCAGCACCGAGTTCAATAGAGAAATCTAAAAAAAAAAAAAAAAAGTCCTATAAAAACACATAGTTCCTCCACTGGAAAAGAGAAATATTTTTTGAGGCCAGTCTGTGACTCTCCATGAGGCCATTGTATCCAGGTAATTTATACATGCCTTCAAAAAATTATTAGCAGTGTTCAATTAGCATTTTCTTAACTGGCTAAGCCATTTGAAAGGGAAAAGAAGTTGGAGCTTGCAGCCCATAATGCCTGCTGGACTTTCAAACTAAATTCGGTGCTGAAGATCAGACTACAGCAGGAGCCTCATTACTGTATGAGGAAGGAATGCAATAGGCATCCGTTAGGAGGGTGACTGGCTGGAAGGAAAGACACACAGCTGATGAATACCGCAGGTAGGCACATTAACAGAATAAATACTCAGAGCGCTCAACTTTGCCCAATGTAGGCAAAACCTGATTTTAAGCCTCTAAGGTTATGGAATACGGCAAAAACAAACAAAAACAACAGCCTAAAATCTTCACGTAAATAATTTCTTAATGACTGATGAGAAATAAAGACTACCTCAAATTCTAGTCACGTATTCTATAAATTATTACAAAAATGCAAAGAATTTTTACTTTTCAATTTCCTTTTAAGAGTGGAATGGTACGCAAACCTACATATTTTTTTAAAAAACCAAAAAACAAAGTAGCCATTAAAAAAAGTTCATCTGTACTAAGTAATCAAATATATATATATATAAAATTATTATAACTAAACAAGGAAGAGAATATTTTAAAAAGTTGTTTTCCAATATTTTGAAGCTATGAAGAAAAAGTATTATGGAAAATCCCAAGAATTAAATATTGTTAAATTTTATACAGTACATATTGTATTAAAAGTATACTTGTTCTTCATGAATACGTATCAGGGACAGTTACCTGAAAGCATGCTTTAAAATTAGGTTGATTTCTGGATCACTTAAATGGAGTTCAGTGTTGAGAGAATTAACATAACTATAAATAAATTATATTTTTAGGAATGAACATTTCCCAAATTTTCTTTGTAACAAAATATAGCACGTGACACAGAGAAATACCACTTTTGCTTTTCACAAAGATCTTGTGCTTTTTTCAAAGGTCTTAACCAAAACAAATTTATATTTACCTTAATGATTTGCATTTTTACATTCCCATTAGTTTCTTTATATGTTATGTATTTTTAGAGTTCACTTCCAAATTCAAGGATGTTGGGACATGTTCCCACAGGTAATTTCATTTTTTTCTCATCAGTAGGTTTGCTACATTACAAGTTTTTATCAATTGTACAAAATGTGCATAGAATGTTTTGGCACTTTCTATCAAATAATAAAAGTCATTTTGTTTAAAGCAATTATACATGGTAATTACTTTAATACAATGCAGATATTCTTGTCAAAGTAAAATTATCTTCTACTTATATTTCTTAAAAGTTGAAGAAGGAAATTGTGTAAAAAAAACCCTCAGCATTCTGACTATTTGGACCTGTTAATAGTTTATTTTGTTAATGAACCCAAGGAAACAGAAAATTGTTGGATTTTATAAGCAAAGCTCCATTATAAATTTGACTAAAACATACCTAAAAAACTACAATTAGTGAAGGAAAAAATTCTTTTCATACAATTTAAATTTATTTTGGGCAAATAAATTTGAATTGTCATGTATGATTTCTATTAGCATTTGCATGAAATATCAACAGCATGTTCACTTCTACTGTTATTCTCATGTGCTCAAGCTATGACTGTTTCACTGTCAAAATGTGATTGTGATAATCGTTCTATAAAAGTTATCGCTAAGGACAAATTTCACAAAACAGTCTTGAACAAAAGGAACACGGGAAAAAAAACTCTCCTATGTCACATACTAAATTGAAATTTTGTCTGCATACTTTAAGAATGTTATTAAACAACAATAATAAGCACTTCAACTGAATTGATTTGTAGGAAATGAAGTGAGCATATTTTACTAACGATAGAACTCCTTAGAAGTAGCAAGACACTTCATTGACATGCAGAGTCAAAGTGTTGACTTCAGATGCCTCTGAACAGAGTGAAAGAATTAAAGTAAGTTCTTATAACCCGCTTCCATGGCTCTTCTCATTATGATGATCAAATACATATTACAGTGTGTATGTGCTAATACAGCACTTTTTACTTATTTTTAAATGCTTTCTGTAACAAGAAAATCCATATGGGAAAAATCTGAATGTAGTTCCCAATTTCATCATATAATTTCTAAAGCCCTTTATCCTGCCATTGTTTAAAGCCAATATTATGTCAGATTCAAATGTATCTAACCATCTTTTAATTACACTTACATTTTAAACTGGCCTTTATGCTACAAAAATAGAAGTTATTACATGCATTAGTTGATATGGCCAAAGTAATTTATTTTTTGCACACTGTTCAACAACTAAGAGATTTGAAACTGTAAACAGGCAAGGGATTAAACTGTAATTAGGCAGGAATTTTGTAGTACATAAGGATTATATTAGAACAAGTTAAGAAAAATGCCAACCAATTCACCAAGTGATATAGCTGAGCCAGCACTCTTCCCGTGTTGGGTAACAGGAATATGTGTGTGGGCAAGGCTACCTTGAGAAGGTCCCACACACATTTGCTGCTCTGGCTGGGTTCATCTGAATGTGAAGAAGGTACCAGAAGCTGCTCCGGGTAACCCTCCTTTGCTGATGTCAATATGTATCAACCCTGTTGCCACGGTTACCTGCACCATGGAGACTAAAAGATTATAGTTCTTTCAGTATAGTTTACAGCTATCCCAACATTTGCTATTTATACTTAAGATTTTCGGGGTTTCTATCTCTGTCACTGTGCATACATTCTTAAGCAAGTTTTCTGTGTTTCTCAGCTGTACGGAAGAGGGGGAAAAGGTCCCACCTGCCGTTCAGAGGAAATAGCCAACAAAAGGGCAGCTTCAAAGATGACAGTTTTTTTTAAATACATGCATTTTTTTTTCCTGCTTACTAATATACACCTAACACCCAACAAAAGCGTTCCTGTTCTTAGGACTGACTCTCTCTGGGTGAAAGGAGCCTCTCAAACAGTTCCACTGTTCTCTCAGCTTTAATTCCCGGCCTGTTACAGAATATACAGGTATTACATTGTCACTGTCTTCTAAAAGTGATGTATCGGAAGACAGGCAGAATTTTTAGCCCTAATGACCTTTTTAAAGCCACAAGTGAAAAACATCATGGTGACATATATAAGAACACTCGAGACATAATGTTTCTTTAAATATTCCAAACGACGGTTCTTAGCAAGGTTTTTAAATTTTCTCTTTTCAATGAGTACAGTGGCTTGTAAATAAGCTAACCACTTACAAAGTAGTAGTAAAATAGGTATTTTATAATTTTATCCATCTCAAAATCTCACCTTTATCCTGCCACACTTTTGCAACACATTTTTAATTAATTACAATTAACAAAAGGAGAAGCAAAACTCGCTCAGCACAGGAAAAGGGATGTTAACTTCTCCACTTTAATTAGCAACTTTAAAATGCCACGTGGATCTTCA